TTTATTTTACACCACAGGAGCTTGCATTAACAAAATAATTAAAACATTTTCTGAAAATAACACCAAATGCTTCTCTACTATATGCAGTAAACTCTGTTATCTGGAATTCAACTAACCAGAACTCTCCTCTTACCAGAGAAAAACAAATCGCGTGTACTCACTGTTCGGCGGCATGTATTATTGTGGAAACAATTGTTTATGGTATGGTGTATGGCATTAGTTAGACCTATTTTTAATAGTAACACTCAAGCATCCGGGAAACTACACTTATCTGGAATTTACCAATCTCTGTGGATGCTGGATAACAGAGTTTACTGTATATTAAAAGCTGGACAATGTTGGCCTTAACCTTTTCACTGCCAAGGCTTTTTTGTTTTTTGCACACGTTATAATCCACATATAGGCCTGAAAAACCTCAAACATTATATATTTTCTGAAAGCATCAACCCTGTGGAATGAAATGATGGCAATCACGGCTGGGTCACTATCTGCAAGGAGTTTGCATGTTCTCCCCGTGCTTGCGTGGGTTTCCTCTGGGTACTCCGGTTTCCTCCCACACTCTAAAGACATGCTGGTAGGTTAATTGGCTCCTCTCTAAGTTGGCCCTCTATGTATACCTGTGAGATAAGGGACCTTAGATTGTAAGCTCCTTGAGGGTAGGGACTGATGTGAATGTGCAACTATGTAAAGTGCTGCGTAAATTGTCGGCGCTATATAAATACCTGTAATAAATAAAAAATAAATAAAATGGCAGTTGCAAATTTTTACTTCACACAATATTATCAAAAAAATGCACTTAAGTTCATTGTGGTGGGCAAAAACACAATATAATGGTCACTCTGAGCTCCAGAAATCCTGTGTGAAGATGGGACAAAGTTCTAGAAAAACCACCATTACTGCAGTCCTCCACCAATCTGGCCTTTTTGGTAGAGTTGCTAGACTGAAGCCTCTCTTCAGTGCAGAACACATGAAAGCCCACTTTGCAAAAAGCACTCGGATAGTGAGGAACAAGATTATCTGGTCTGATTGTGCCTGTGAGTGTGGAAGCCGCAATGAGTATTATATGTGAATACTTTTATAATTTAAAGATTTATATGATTTTACCACCTGCGCAATAAGAGTCTTTCTTTTCTAAATCTGATGTGGATGAGTGGATACTCTTTCAGTGTGGATATCTCAGGACATCGTGAACATGATTGTCCCTCCTGGAGGCAAAACAGGGTAAAGCTTTCTGTGACCTTGTCTGTGAGGGGTCTTATTAACCCTTTCGCTGCCACCTACGTAAGGCATACGTCGGAACAAAAGTGTTCCCGGCTGGCCAGCTCAGTATGCCGTACGTCGGTGGCATTTACAGTTCTGCTATAAGCCCATCAACTTATACCAGATCTGTACAGCAGACCGTTCTCTTAAAATTAATAGCTGTCATCAGCGGCTCCCAAGCTGCTGATGACCGCTATTAACGAAAATACCGGGCGCCCCCCGCGCCAGCACCGCTGCTGCCGGTTGCCGGCATCTGGAGTCTTTCATGCCTGCCTGGAGCCGCTCCAAGCAGGGATGAGAGACTCTATGGATCCCCGCAGCTGGAGATCCGAAGAAAAATCGCCGGCAGGAGGGCGGAGGAGCGAGCGCGGGCTGGCCGCAATTCAGGATTGCTGAGCGGTGAGTATAGCGGAGCCGCTGTCATCCTGTCAGTTTTCAGATGACAGCGGCTCTGTGCGTGGCCGAGCGGGGGATCGATAAATATCATTGATATTTATCGATCCTCCTGTGCAGAGCAAACATCCTGAGTGATTGTCTGATCACTCCGGTGTTTGTAAATAACTGGGGACACATAGTACTATTCCCAGTTACTGGGGACACATAGTACTATTACCAGTTATGAATGAACAGGCTGTGATTTATGTCACTTCCTGTTCATTCATAAATTTTATGAATGGGGAGTAGCACTCACTATAGAGGCTTCTCCCCATTCATAAACTGGTGATAAACATTTTTACTATCATTAGTTTCTGAATGAATGGGAAGCCTCTGTACTGAGTGCTTCCCATTCATTGAGTGCTGAGGCTGCAGAAAAAGCAATTGAGGACTCTGTGTCCTCAATTTCTTTTTCTATTTCAAAAGGGAAATTTCAGTGGTCTGGTTAGACCCCAGATATTTCACCGTAGCCCACCAAACAGTAAAAAAATGTAATTTTCTCTAGTCACCTTCCAGGACAGCATTATAGAGATAGGCTCCTCCCACCGGAAGAGGAAACACATCGCCCACACTTAAAATAAAAAGGAGCACAAGCCTACTGCTCTGAAGCAGGCATTTCCCTCCGGTTCGGCGGTCTGTTGGTTCGGCGGCCCTCGTGGAGATTCGACGGGTCATTAGGCGGAAGTGACGCTTTTCCGCGCACTTCCGGCCGGGCCCGCAGAGCGTCTGACGTCACTTCTGGGCGCGAGGGTCATAGGACCCGGGGCTTCTAGGCTGCAGCAACCGCTCGGTCCACGCTACAGATGGCCAACACAGCTGAAGCAGTGGGTCTCAAAACCCTTGCGCTTCCCACACACGCAAGAGGGGGGCACCGATGTCAGGGCACAGAGCTGGATTCGGAGGGGCCAGGGGGCCCAGCTGGAGACTCGACTACCACAATGGCATTTGATCTGGGGGATCCTGGTGCCGGCAGCTCTAAGGTAAGAGAGGGGGAGTTCCCCATTCCTTTTACCGGTTTTTTCTCAGTGTTTGGGGGCATGAGAAATGGGGTTGACACACGTTGGAAGATTGCTGTTTTTTAACATAGCTTTGTCGTTTTTTGTTTTGCAGAAAACTGCAGCAAATCGATCTGGCAATAAGAAATGTGCACAATGCTGTGTAAAGTTTTCCTCCACATCCAAAAAAAAACAAAAAACCCTGTGCCAGTATTGCATTGGAAAACTGGTCAAGGATGAATCTTCCAGCATGTGTAAAAAGATTCCATGCGAGAAGAAAGGATGTCAACCTTTCAGTCATTCTGCACGGTGATACAGGATGCAGATATGACTGGTAGCCATACGGTGGCAGTTCCTTCATGTTCTGGGACGCACGTTCCCCTTCAAGCGGCCTCACGGCCGAGTAGTGTATCTGAGAGGGCTGCTACCGTGTCGAATTCTTCCTCTAAAGGTGGATACTGGTGCTAGCAGCTTTGAGGTAGGACAGGGGTTGGACCCCCCCATGCCTATTCTTTGTCTCTCAGTGTTTGGGGACATGAGGGACTGGTCGACACCTTTTCAAGTTCTGGTGTTCATTGGGCTACGTTTTTGTGTGTTTTGCAGAACAAACCCTCTGAAGGAACTTTTGTCTTCTATCTTCCTCTATGTATGAGGTGATATGAGTACTGACCTGGGTGTTCAAAGGCGCTGGATTGATGTTTGGAACCAAGGCCTCTGAAGGAAGAATGCTCTCATCAGTCAGCATGCATGGCAGTGATGGGCAGCCTGCAAGATTAAATATCCCTCTTCTTCCAAAAAACCCACTGTGCCGATCCTGTGTAGGGAAGCCAGTGGTGGATGAGTCGTCAGGCATGTTTTAAAGCCTGATAGACCTCTTGCTAACACAGGATTGGTATGTGTTATTTCCACCAGTGCATGGCGGATTAGAGGCATGGGCTGCAGCACAGATACATTTTTTAACATGCAAACAGCAAACCCAGACAAGTAAGCAACCTATTACTCCCACATGGAATGGATGTGGGGTGCAGGAAAACCCTTTCCTAGCTGTGGTGTAATATTTTAATGTGGGCCTGCATTATTTTTTGACAGGCTCCAATGCTAATACTCTGCATTATGCTGCAGACGGGCTGGTTCATAGGCACTCACTAGCATGTGCAGTAAATGGACTTCTTATTACACTAGCACAGTGCTGCAAGCCTAAGAGGGAGTTCCATTGCTGGTAGCAACCAGGGTTTCCTGCCTGGGCTTGGTTTGAGCTCCCAAGTTGGAGGCTATGATTGCTCTCACCTGAGTGGAGCAGGGTAGGGCTCTTTCAGCCCTGTTTGAGTAGACGGCACTTAATTTTCGCTTCCCTGTCTTAGAGATAGGAAAGGGAAGAGGCAAAATCCCAGAGTATGGGAATTGCTGGAGGAGGTTACGTACTTCCTGGGAAGATATGTATTACCCATTAAAGATTTTTAGTTGACGCTTTACCCACTACATGTGAGTGTATGTATGTGTTAAATCTTGTCTCTCTGTATGATAGCAAGCATCTAACCTTTTCATGTGGAGTCTTCTCTTCCAATCAATTTGCTCACAGGTGGAGCTGATCCATTGATTGTAGCTGCCTGAGTGTGTCTGTCTCACAGGTGTGAGGTCTTTACTTACTACTCAGGATGCAATGCAGAGTGTGCAGCACTTGCCCAGTCCAGGATGAGAGCTTGTGGCTATGGTTCTCTGTCTCTTGGAGAGAGATCACATACAGGGATGTATTTCTGTGGCTTGTTGTAGCTGTACGTAATTTCCCGACCATAAGTGGAATCTGCTTTTAGAAAGCACTAAGTCATGAAGTCCAAGATTTATTCATACCTAATGTATTTGGGTATTTGATATTTCTATGCAATCTCTGCAACAACCTGTTACTGCTTAGTATAAGCATTAGTTCAGGAGGCGATCTTTGAATTTGAGGAGTGATGCATATTCCTATGCGGGCCCCAATATAACCGAGTTTCAGCTTTAGAGAGAGCTTCATTGGTTCATGGGGTGATTATGTATCTCAGTATTGGGGTATACCTTGGTTTCAGTATTACTATACTGCCTCTATTTAGAATTAAGTTGCAGCCTCAGTGCAAACATCGTTGGCCGAGGAGGGAATTAGGTAAATCGGTATTGCAATATAATGCTATATGCCCTCTAAAAACACCCAATTTGACTTCTTTTCATTACTTATAAAATCTCAGTCCCGATTGATATCTGGTTGTGGGGTGTTTTTATACTTTCTCCATTATGGCTTTAGCAGGAGCATCATCTGTCCGTGGGGCAGTTCTGAAGCTCGGTAGGATGTACGCCTTTAAGTTTTGCCATTAGGTCTTTCTGGACCCCGTATACCATCCTCTACTTCAGTGGAAGCATTTTTCTTTTTTCATAAGATAAGTTATGAATTTTGGTGTCTGCGCATACTACGTGTATGAGTATACTAGACTGCCTCCAAAGCAACCAAATTTTTCTTTTTTTTGTTGAAATATCTTTGGTTCTTAGGGCAGCCGTGAGTATCAGTATATGCGCATACATTCATTTTTGGTGCTTATATACTGTACCTGGTATAACCTTTTTTGGCTGCTTAAGGTAAGCAATTTTGATTCATAAGGTAGTTATGAATTTCAGTTTCTGTGCATACCATGGGTATGAGCACATTAGACTGCCTACAAAGCAACCGATTTTTGTGGCTCAAGAGGTGGTTATGGATATCTGTGTTCCTTCTACCCGCAGTTGTCCTGCTACACTTCAGGACCTTGACTCGATTCAGTAAGGCATCATGGTTGGGATGTATTGAGGATCTCAGTATGGGAGACATCTGAGTTCTTTCGTATATCTAAACCAACAGTCTACACAGTAACTGATGACAGTTTCCATAAGGCGTTCTTGGTCGCTGTGTAGGTGTGAGGCTCAGTATTATCATCTGAGTTCATACTTTGTATAGTTATGTAACTATACTTTCTACAGGATAACGGTGTTCTGCTTTGGGAAGTCTTTACCAGTTATGATGTGGTTATGAAGCTCAGCCTTGGTATTATCATCCAAGCTATACTTGGTGCATGGTTATAGCCAAATGTTAGTCACTGCCGTGTGGATATAATTACGGAGTCCTACAGGCTTTCCTAGAAACTCAGTTGAACTAATTGTAGCATGTTCTTTAAAATTATTGCATTTAAAACAGCTTTGCTAGTAGCCATGGTTTAGCGAAATGTACACTTTGCTGATTTTGGGTCCCTATAGCACAGGGAAAAATTGTATCAAAACCAGTCGCGGTTTTTCCTATGGCAATAGTGCAATATGTCAGGGAACGCATGGTATGGCAGTTCCCTCCTTTTGTACCAGTACATCAGTTATGGGAGAAGCAGCCTTACCTGGCGTGGACGTTCGCTTGGCCTCTTCATGGGCTAAGCGTGCAGGGGCTACACCAGAGCAGGGATAACTGGTCCAGGCTCTTGACGTTGTCAAGTACTGTAGAGTTGACGTAACGGTCAACCAAGATCAGGCTTTCGGGGGAAAGCCCTGTACACTGTGGTCCCCCCCCCGATTGGGAGTATGGTGCTCGCTTATCCTCTCTAATGATGTCCTGGAAGGTGACTAGAGAAAATTGGAGTTACATACCTGGTAACTCTGTTTCTAGGAACCTTCCAGGACAGCAGGAATTCCCGCCCGATATGGTGGAGTTATTTACTATGCGTTGTTATGCGATGTAAGGTTATATATTATTATGGGTGTATATATGTGTATATGTATCTATAATTCTATGAACGAGTGCAATATAGTATCCTTCGGTTCTTAAGTTTTAACTGAAGCTTGCTAGGCTTGTGCTCCTTTTTATTTTAAGTGTGGGTGATGTGTTTCCTGTTCCGGTGGGAGGAGCCTATCTCTCTAATGCTGTCCTGGAAGGTTCCTAGAAACAGAGTTACCAGGTACGTAACTCCACTTTTTTTTTTTTTTTAAATGTAAAAAAATAAAAAAAAATAATAAAAAAAACCCCTCCCTCCCTCCACAGACATGCACCATATTGTGGTGTACGCCATGCGTTGCAGTGCGTTGGAACGCATCGCAGTGCATGATTTATTTTCTTTTAAAAACCCCCCATTAATTTACCTGTGGCAGCGCATGGCAAAGCTTTGTGATGCATTGCCATGCGTCGTGATACCTTGTGTTGCAATTAAATATATGCCTGTATCATTTTATCACAACACAAATAACAATTTATAATAATTACACAAACATTAACACAAATAACCAACACGGCGCAAAAACAATTTTTAACATAAGTCGCTTATTTACAGTTTTGCGTACCTTCATTTTTTTTTACCTTTTCGCAAAAAGGCGCAATTTCAAATTTGCAAATATTTGTTATTAACTCAATACAGTTTTATCTTTTAGATTTGTATCGGTTGAAGACACAGCCATGAATTGACTGCTCAAGTGGATTTTTTTATTGATTAACAATTGTTCATTGGACTTTTGTTGGCACGTCTGTCTATCATGGTTGTGGATTATTTGTAGGGGTATTGAACACGTCTTAGGACATTCACATTTTTTTATGCGATTAGAACACCCTGATTAGAACAGTTTAGGAGCACAATTTGACTAATGCTTATTTGCTATTTATGTATTTTGTATGGATGGTTTTGAACTAGATAATGTTTGTAATTATTTATAAATAATTTGCTATTGAAGGGGGGGAATATTTATAGTGCAACACTTTATGAATTATATTTGTTTTACTATATTATTGTTGCTCCACACATATATTTGGCATGGGATTTAGCACTATATTGTTTTCAAGATTCCCTGGTCTGATGAAACCAAGATTGAACTGTTTGTCCTCAATTCTAAACCTTGCATCTGGAGAAAACCAGGCACCGCTCATCACCTCCCCAATACCATGCCAATAGTGAAGCATGGTGGTGGCAACATCATGTTGTGGGGGTGTTTTTCTGCAGCAGGGACTGGGTGACTTGTCAGGGTTGAGGGAAAGCTGAATGGAGCATAGTACTGAGATATCCTCCAATGAAATCTTGTTCCACAGACCTCAGGAACTTGGACTGGGCCAAAGGTTCACCTTGCAACGTGACAACGATTCTAAGCACATAGCCAAGACAACACAGGAGTGGCTTAGGGACAACTCTGTAGATGTCCTAGAGTGGCCCAGCTAGAGCCCTGACTTGAACCCTATTGAACATCTCTGGAGAGACCTGAAAATGGCTGTCCACCGACGGTCCCCATCCAACTTGAGAGCTTGAGAAGATGTGCAAAGAAGAATGGCAGAAAATACCCCAATCCAGGTGTGCAAAGCTTGATGTTGTGTCATACCCAAAAAGACTCAAAGCTGTAATTGCTGCCAAAGGTGCTTCAACAAAGTACTGAGTAAAGGGTCTAAATACTTGAGTACATGTGATATTTCAGTTTTGTTTTCTTTTTAATAAATTCAGACTTTTATAAAATTCTGTTTTCCATTTGTCATTTATGGGGTACTGAGTGCAGATTAATAAGAAAAAAAAAAAAAGAATTTAAACTGTAGTGTCAGGCAGCAACATAACAAGGTTGAAAAAAGTATAGGTTGGAATACTTTCTGAATTCTCTCCACTCTCACTCATTTTTTTTTCTTCTGGCAAGGTTGGATATTACAAACCATGCCAATGACAAAGTATTGTCTTAGTTGGCAGTATATGGAAGAAAGGTAGCGATTGTGGGCTGTTTATGCATGACACGTTTTCAGAATATGATGTGAAGCACAATGCAGGAGAGCTGTGGCAAGGGCATGATGGTGGCCTGTATGCTCAGGAGAAAAATGCAGAGGGTGTGACAATAGGCTGTACAGTTAAAGTAGTTTTAAACTCTCAAAACCTTTTTCAATGATGAATCAAGATCAAACAGATATACAGCTGCTTCAGCTTTCCTGAACTTCCTGTCCAGTACAAGATCACAAAGGACAGTGCAGACTACAGCATCTGTTCATCTACTTGGAGGGAGGGAGGAGAGGGGGATAGGAGGGAGGGATGTAGCTTGATTTGCTGTGTTTTGTGGAGACACACACAGCTTACTAGCACACACAAGGGTAACTGCATAGCACTCTGCTTAGCACTCTGCTTGAGAAAGGAGTCACTCTAAAACAGGAAGTCAGAACCAGTGCTCGGGACCAGCTGATTATGCAGGAAACTCAGATTTTTACACACAGAAGTGTTTTATCACACAGTTTCCCATTGGTCTATGGGACCAAAAAGTGCTGTAATCTGCCAAAAAGTAGCATGTACTTTTTTCTTTTTTTCTGCTTGCAACAAAACGCTCAGGTGTGAACCATAGAAATAAATAAAATTCCTTTTCTTGACAAAATGCCTAGGTGTGAACGGGGAGGTAAAGAGAACGGTCTTTTGTAGAAGTGAAATCTGGGATAAGAGCAGAGACGGTCAGTCTCTTTCACTGTGTCTCACTCACAAACTGAATGTGTTCTTTCTCTTTTAGAAATGACTCTAAACACTGGAAATATCAATTTTAAATGGGATCCGAAGAGCTTAGAAATACGTACCCTTGCAGTGGAGCGACTGCTTGAGCCTCTTGTTACGCAGGTATGTGAGCTATAAAAGAGCCTGTCAGAACTGTAATATGGGAGCTGCCAGCTGTTGGTCGGAGCACAGTAGATCTAAAGCCAAAACACTTTTTTTATTTATTTTTTATTTTCCCCCCCAATTTGGACAGAGTAGGAAGATTTCTCCATGTCCTGTTAACTCAACAGAATGTGAGAGCATATCTTTCCAATGTGAGGGAAATCGGTGTTGGACATTTGTCATCGAAACCTGTGTCCCCAATGGAAGATTTCCCCTCTTTTCTGATGGCACCTAAAAATTTTAGATTTACTAATGTTCATTCCCTGTGAGATTGGTGATCAGGACAATTGCATCTTAAAGCTGACTGTTACCTCTTTAACCCCTTCATGACTGAGGCCCTTTTTTCATTTTTTGCACCCATGTTATATTCCACATTTCAGGCCTGAAAATGACGTAAAACCCCCCAACATTATATATTTTCTGAATGCCAAGACCCTATAGAATAAAATGGTGGTAGTTGAAAATTTTTATTTTGCGCAATATTAGCGCAACTCCTTATTAAACCCCAAAATTTAGTGACAAATTTAATTCTGTTGTAAAGCCGACAGTCGGCTCTACAAGTTTAAACAGAGTCCCGGCGGCAAAAGTCACCGGGAGTCTGTTTAAACAGCCCCGATGCTGGCGACGTACACTGTACGTCGTGAGTCATGAAGGGGTTAAAAGACCAACAAACACACCTTTAAATGTTTAGTAATGACAATCAACTAATGCATACTTTTAGGTAATTGCCGGCTTTGTATTCTTTGCATACCTAATTTCTCTCTTCTTACCCAGTCTTCTGACAGTGGCCATGTTAACTAATGGTAGATTACCAGCTCTCCTTGCACTGAATTTCTGGGACAGTAGAGTAAACGAGTCATCTCAAGGAAGAAAATGCTTCTCCCTGAGATCTCATGAGATTTCCCAGCAATGCTCTGCTGATGACAATGCAATCCCAGTAGAGCTGCAGCTAACGATTATTTTCAAAATCGATTAGTTAGCCGATTATTAAGTTCGATTAATCGGATAAACAATAAAATAAAGTTTTAAAAATGGCTCCAGTGATGGGACTACTAGTTTGTATTGAGGTTGTAGTCCATCACAGGAGCAAGCTTGGACCGGTGGAAGTAAAAAAAGAAAAAAGATAGTGTGGTGTGCAATATAGTGAAATGGAAAGTGTAAAATTATACAGCAATGAATGCAGAATGGCAACGGCTATAGAGGACTACAAAACCCAGCAAAAGCACATTATATAGCACAATGCAGAATACCGCCAGCTATAGAGGAATACAACAAATCCCAGCAATAGTACATAATAGCTGGCGGCATTCTGCATTGCGCTGTATAATGTACTATTGCTGGGTTTTGTAGTCCTCCTATAGCTGGTGGTATTTAGCATTGTACCACTTTATAATGTATTATTGCTGGGATTTGTTGTACTCCTCTATAGCTGGTGGTATTTTGCATTGTGCTGTATAATGTATTATTGCTGGGACTTGTAGGTGGGGAGGAGGTGCGGCGCACAGCGTGTGGAGCTGTGAACAGGGCCAACTGATTGGAAGCCGATTAATCGATTATTGAAAAAGTTGATAACTTTTTCAATAATCGATTAATCGATTATGTCGATTAGTTGTTGCAGCCCTAAATCCCAGTGTGCATTGTGTTTGAAAACGGAAGTTAGTTGCACCTTTTCATAGAAGGAAGTGAATGCTCTGCAAGTGTAAGTATTTCAAAATCACAGTATTTTACACCTGACATGTTTGTGATTATTGTCATAGAGGGATGCATTGGTAGAATTGGATTTTTGTGCAAAGGTCCGCTTTAAGGCCCCTTTCACACTTTCAGTTCGGATCAGCAGGGGATCCATGCATGGATCCCCTACTGATCGGAGCAGTTCACAGTGGATATCTGTCTCTGTCCAGTCTTCTGTTTTTTTTCTTTTCCTTTTTTTTCCCCTTTCCCCTCCATCTAGTAATGGAGAAAAAAACTTGACCTACCGGACCCATGTTAGGTCTATGGGGAGTCTAATGTAAACAGACATGTCATGATATAACTGCCTCAGTCTGCAAGCTGCTTTTGACAATTTTGTTTGTGGGAGGCATGCTGACTGCGTACACTTGTTTGTATACCACTATGATTTGCTAGCATGATGATAACCTGATTTGAAACGGTGCTCATTGTTTCCTGATAATGTATCTGACAGGGCAGCTGTTATCCCTGAACAAACCGTTCTGCCATAGGACATTAAGTCCTCAGCATGCTTGTGCTTAGGAACATGAATATACAGATTGCAGGCAGCAGTTAAAAAAGAAAATGGCAGCTCACAATTTTTTGTTCTGACAGATGATTTCCTTTAAACAATCATATATGCTCTTTTTGTGTATATGTTTTACTGCTGTCCCTGTTTGAATCGTGTGTGTATAAAGTTAAAGCTTTGGTAAATTAGTGGATATTTGTATTTTTCTGTTAATCAAATGGACAGGTGAATTGCCTATCTTTTTAAACTTGCATGTTTAAAAGTATTGGTTGGTTTTACTGGAGTATGCATATGTAGAAATGCCTGTAACTACTGTCTGCATTTTGTTAAGTTGTAACTACTTTTTGTTCAGATCAATGTACATTGGAAGGATTTTAACAGACTTTGTTGCAGAGTCGCACCTTTTTTTTATTTTTTATTTTGTTGCAAATTAAAACGCTTTTTGTTTTACAATGTCCTTTTCAGGCTGATTCATTAATGAGAGGGTCTAATCTAACCACTGGTGCACTCAGGGTTCTAATGAGCCAAGTTGCATTATCTGCATCCCTTTAAAGGAGAACTAGGAGGTGAGTGCTTTTCACTCACCTCATAGTTCTAGCCGACCTGTGACAATGAGATTGTCACAGGTCGGCTCAGTAGATCGGGAGATGAGCGAACACATGCCGTTGTTCGCTCACTTCTCGATCCTGTCACGGCTCTCTGCCGTGACAGGGGAGGGGATGGATTCCCCCCTCCCTGCTCCGATCCGCCAGCGCTGACTGGCAGAACGGGAGGGGGCGGGTACAGCTGGCTCTGCCTCTAGATAGGCCGAGCCAGCTGCCACTCACGCAGCTGGGCGGATCTCGACATCGACCGGCTGCGGCGTCTCAGTATACCGCAAGCTATAGCTCGCAGTATACTGAGCTTAGGGTAAAGGGAGGACGCTAGTTTGTGTCCTCCCGTTACCCTAAGGAGAACTATGGGGGAAAACCCCTGACCCCATAGTTCTCTAAGAAGTAGTAAACTTTTAGTCTCGGTTCACACCTGAGCGTACGGAATATGCGCGTTTGCAGCGCGTTTTACCGCAAAAAAAACACGCAACAAACGCGTGTTTCTGAGGGCTATCCGGCTGTATCCTAATGGATACGTGCTGTAAAACGCCCAGGTGGGAACCATGCCCATAGGCAGTTAGTGGTTTTCACATGATGAGCGTTTTACAGCGCGTAGGAACGTGCTGTAAAACGCCCAGATGTGAACCAGGCCTTAAAGGAGTATCTCACCAAAAATTACATAATTGTAGGGATGTCCAAATGATGTTTGCATCTTCGTGCAGACATCTGAGAATATCAGTGAGTCAAGCACAGATGCAGGATATGAGTGTACAGAATGCCTCCAAGTTGCTATAATGCATTTAATTTTTTTAATTTTGAAAAATTACAGCAGCTTCAGATTGAAATGTAAAAGGAAACATTTAATAACAAATGGCTTGTGTAGCAATCTTAAAAGTGTATTTCCATTTTCACTGCCAAATAAGACATTTTTTATAATGTTTACATGTTGCTATTCACATAACATAACCTAACAAAATATATTTAAAAAGGCTTCTTCCAATTTAAATTGTTATTACTTGGATTAGGGTTTCCTGACTTCTTAAAATGTCTACTCTCGCAGTATACCGCGAGCTACAGCTTGCGGTATACTGAGACGCCGCAGTATACCGCAAGCTACAACTCGCGGTATACTGAGACGCTGAAGCGTATCCCGACAATTAGTCTGGATCCGCCCAGCTGCATCAGTGACAGCTGGCTCGGCCTATTTAGAGGCAGAGCCAGCTGTACCAGACCCCTCCCCGTCCGTTCTGCCAGTCAGCGCTGGAGGATTAGGGAGGGGGGGAATCCAGCCCCTACCCTGTCACGGCAGAGAGTAGTGACAGGATCGAAAAGTGAGAGAACGCTGGTATGTGTTCGCTCACTCCCCGATCTACTGAGCCGACCTGTGACAGTCTCATTGTCACAGGTCAGCTAGTACTATGAGGTGTGTGAAAAGCACTCACCTCATAGTTCTCCTTTAACCCTGCCTTTACTGTGCTGGCTCATGTCATTATTTTTTGTAAAGTTGTTTTTTACATTGCTAGTCCTAACAAAGAGTTAAAGTATTAAAAACTTGGCTTCTCTTTTGTATGTTAATGAGAGAAACATAATCGTTAGATTTCAGTCCTAAGGGCCAGTGCACACCTAGGCGATTTATCCCGCGGTTTCGCGCAAAACACAGACTTGCATGGAAGTCAATGGAGGCTATTCACACCTTTTGCGGTTTGTCGTGCTGACCAAATCGGCTGTTGTGCAAAAAGGTACAGGAGCTATTTTCAGGCAGTTGTCGCACCGTTTGGGTCCCATAGACATCTTAAGGAGCAACTATTGTGCGGTTTTCAGAGAACAGTCGCGCAAACGAAAACGCACAAAAACCGCTCACCAGCTCAGACGCCTAGATGTGAACCTAGCCCAAGTCTTTCTGTAAGCACAGATCACTGTGAAGGTGCTAAAAAAAAACCTGTTTTCAGCCATTTTGGTGTAGCACATTCGCTGTAGCACGGTGACTACAGGTATTACATCTGAGGCCAAAGCATCAGAAGAACTCACTTGGCGAGTCACTTCTTCAAAGGGAGCTAAGATTTTCATCATCTTTTCCATTAGATTCTGCAGGTTTGCAGTGATGGTGACTGGGGAGCTCATGCTCAGGCACATAC